CTCTGCCTCCCGAGTGCTGGGATTAAAGGCGTGCGCCAGCACCGCCCGGCTATTGTTGAATTTTTTTAAGAACTTCATACATGAGCGCTGCATCTGCATTGCTTCTGCCGCTCCTCCTGTCTTCAACTCTTCCTGTGCCCCCTTCATCTATGATTGAGTCTTTAATTACTATTATATGTGTGTGTGTGTTGTTATATTTGTATGTATGCACACACGTGTGCATACATATAACCTGGGTCCACTTAGCTTTGCTCATATGTACATACATGTGTCTAAGGCTGACTACTTGGGATTGGACATCTTATGTGGGAATTTGTCCCTGGAGGAGACTGACTCTCCCTCTCTCAGCAGCCATTACCCCCTCACCCCATCCATAGCTCTTCGTATAGGGGTGGGACCACGTGGAATTGTACCTGTCTATTTTTGGCTTGTCAGTTGATGTTGTCGTTGCGGAGCTAACTGTATTGTTGCGAGTCAGTGGGTGTAGCTTCCCTGACAGATGGAGAAGACACCATCCTAGTCTTCTGGTTTTCACAGATCCAGTCCCCCACCTTTCTGAGATTTTCCCCGAGTTATATTGATTGGAGTTGGGAAATCATAGTTATTTACCCTCTTCATTGCTGTGGGACGGTCTGTATGACAAATGTATTGCTCTGATTGGTTAGTAAATAAAACACTGATTGGCCAGGCAGGAAGTATAGGCGGGACAAGGAGAGAGGAGAGTTCTGGGAAGTGGAAGGCTGAGTCAGAGAGACGCTGCTAGCTGCCGCCATGACAAGCCAGATGTAAGGTACCGGTGAGCCAAGAGCCACGTGGCAACGTATAGATTAATAAAAATGGGTTAATTTAAGATAAAAGAACTAGATAGCAAGAAGTCTGAGCCATTAGGCCAAACAGTTTAAATAATATAAGAGTCTCTATTTATTTTATAAGTAGGCTCCGAGACTGGCGGGTTTGGTGGGAGCTGGGAGCTGGAGAGAAACTCTCCAGCTACACTTCATTTTGACCTCTTTTGGATCTCTATAATAGTTTCCATCTAATGTAGAAAGGAGCTACACTTATCTGTAGGAATAAAAATAAGTATTTTAGAATAGTTAGAAAATATACTCGTTTAGGAAAATGGCAGTAGAAGGGTCTCTGAGCTCTATGACCTCTCCAGCCACAGGTCTCTTTTTAAGCATCTTACTACATGAAAATAAAATGCCTTATAAGAGAACTTTTCGCAGGGCGGTGGTGGTGCACGCCTTTAATCCCAGCACTCGGGAGGCAGAGGCAGGCGGATCTCTGTGAGTTCAAGGCCGTCCTGGGCTACCAAGTGAGTTCCAGGAAACGCGCAAAGCTACACAGAGAAACCCTGTCTCGACCCCCCCCCCCAAAAAGAGAGAGAGAGAGAGAGAGAGAGAGAGAGAGAGAGAGAGAGAGAGAGAGAACCTTTCATCAATATTTAGTATTTACCAGCTCCTGGGCAGTCTGTTTTATTTTTATTATCACTCACTATTTTTTTCTTCACTGTTGCAATTATTTTTCAGATTAAGCTCTAAAGTTGCTCATTCATCAGTTTAAACACTGAGCGTTAGTTTTAGCATCTGTTCTTGAGTGTAACACTACTCAATGTGTATTCCATGGAAAATAAACACAGAAATAAGAGTAGGAAAGCTCTCGGAGCTGTTGACATTGCTACATTTGTTGTACTTAACAAGAAAATTTCCCAAGGGATTGGGCAAATTGAAAATAATTTGTTCTTCATCCAGAGTCTGAGAAGAACTATTTTATATGGTGTCTTGGGAGACAAGAAGAGTTCTTAAGCTTTCATGCCTCCTTAAGGTGTGTACCTTGTCAGGCTGGCAAGGATAACACAATGGTTTTTCCTACTATTGTGTGCACTTTTGTACTGAATAAGAAAAGGAATCAGCTAGCTAAGATTTTTGGTATTTGTGGCTTTATCTTTGACATTGTCTTTTTGCTAACTTTAACATAATAAATTATAGTTAGTTATTTAACATTTCTGTTTACAGTAATATTAGCATTTTTTGTATACAATCTTCAAAAATAAATTCTTTTCTGTTTCACTGCCTTACACATTTCTTTGTTAGGTCTGTGGAAAAACTTTTATCTATAAGCATGGTCTGAAATTACATCAAAGTCTCCATCAGTCACAAAAGCAGTTCCAGTGTGAACTGTGTGTCAAGTCATTTGTTACCAAACGGAGTCTTCAGGAACATATGAGTATTCACACAGGTAATTATAAAACTATTGACATATTTTATATTTCTAATTTAGTATTATGTTAATTGGTTATACTGTAATTACATCGGAACATTGTATTCCAGCACTTGGGACCATGAGGCAGGAGGATGATGAGTTCAAGGCCAGCTTGGGCTTCGTAAAAGTTCTAGGCTAGTCTGCTCTACATAGCTGGGCTTTGTCTCCAATTTCTCTTAACCCCCAAGTAAAAGTAATTGTATTAAGATGCTCATAAGTTAATATGTGCAATCTTTTAGTTAGTAATAAAATTTTAAAACTTTCTTAAATACAGTTTTTAGAAATGATCTTTTTTAAAAATTCACTTAATTAGTGTGTGTGTGTGTGTGTGTGTGTGTGTGTGTGTGTGTGTGGCAATTGGGTACTATATATAGCATATGTTTGTCGAGGTCAGAGGACAACTCTGAGGAGTCAGTTCACTTCCTCCATCATGTGGGTACCAGGAATTGAAGAGAAGTGGAAAGGGTTAGCAACAAGTGCTTTACCCACCAAGCCTCCCATACTTATGTTCAGTGTGCTGTTAATTAGCAAGAGTGTAGGAATGGCCAATGCTGCTGAACTTCTGTTTAACCCAATTACTATTACAGTTCATAAATTACTCAGACATGGTATATTCTTACACAGTGGCCTTTACTAGTATAGTCATTCATCATCCTGGCTGTCCTGGAACTTGAACTGTAGATCAGGTTGGCCTAGAACTCAGATCCTCCTGCCTCTGCTTCTTATGTCCTTGGATTAAAGGCATGTGCCATTATGCCTCCCAAAATGTCTAAAGCACATCATCAGGTAGTCATGGCAGTGACCCTAGTCTTGGTTCCAAATCTGTTTCTGTCAACCTGTTCATAGCAGTGACAGATAGTCTGGGTCAGGGAGAGCCGAGCTGCCACAAGTATGGGATTCCCATTCTGTGTGGGGTTGGAGGATGGGAGGCTGGGCAGAGATGAAGGGGGCAGTAATAGCTTGGTAGGTAGCACCCCTCTTAGCCTGGAGGTTCCCCTCTCCACTTCCTTTGAATGGCTTTTCCTTTCACCACTCTGTTCACCACTTCTCCATCGAGGGCTCCTGTCCTCTTTCCTCCTTCCTCTCCTAGGAATGTTTCAGGGCTGTGACTCACCTCTCACCTGCAAAGGTTTTGTGTCAGGGACACAGTACTATCACAATATGTTAAGTTTCTTGATGATGCTATAGTTTTGAAAGGAAATAGAAAATTTAATGAAGTTTTTTTCCAAGTTTTTGTAAAATGACACTGTTTCTGTGTTCTCTTATCTTGATAAAATTTGAACTTCTGAAATATAACTAAATTATGTTGAAAAGAGGGCCTACTTACACGATTTATAACATGGCTTTTCATTTTCTCACAGGAGAGTCCAAGTACTTTTGCTCAGTTTGTGGAAAGTCTTTTCACAGGGGCTCCGGACTTAGCAAGCACCTTAAGAAACACCAGCCAAAGCCTGAAGTTCGAGGCTATCATTGTACTCAGTAAGTGTTTAATATGTGAAATTCATTTCACTTATCTCGGCTGGCTTATTTGAATATTGCTTTTTTTTTTTTTATAAGATAACATTTAATTGTAATTTCAGCATACTGAGTGATCAGTCTGCCTAGCTCTTACTATTTGTTTTCAGAGTTTTTTAAAGAGTGATTGAAAGAAACTTTCCAAGGTCCTTCCTACCTGGGGTGGAGACAGTAGGGAGAGGTGTACAACTAGCTAGGCTCCTTTGTAGGGTTCCTTGAGGCACTGTATCCTGTTTCTCCTTCCTTATGAATCTTCTCTATTCACTTTCCAAAATTACCTGTTTTTCAATTGAAGTTAAATTCATAAAATCAAAACGTGATCACATTATGTCACATTGAGTAGGCTGCAGATGCACCTGCCAGCATCTGGGGGTCATCCCGTTCATCTAGGTATCACTAAGTACCCACTGGTTTTCGGACAGCTGGCAAGGAACACTACTATGTTTTCAATTCACAGTGAGAATAAATCTAGTGTTTGACCTGTCTTTAAAAAAAAAAAAAAAAAAGTAGCCGGATGGTGGCGGCGCACACCTTTAATCCCAGCACTCAGGAGGCAGAGCCAGGCAGATCTCTGAGTTCGAGGCCAGCCTGGGCTACAGAGTGAAATCCAGGACAGACACCAAAACTACACAGAGAAACTCCTATCTCGAAAAACAAACAAACAACCAAAGGAAAGTAACCACCTTAAAGGGAGTTTTTAATACATTCATAGTTTTGTACAAAGAGGATTACTAATTCTAGAATCCTTCCAGTAGTCAGCCTAACAATTTGCCATCTCTCTTAGCATTCACTGGCAGGTTGTGCAGCTTCAGGTCAGCCAGCGACAGCACAGCGCCTGTGCAGATGTGTCACGGCATGTTTCCAGTGTATGCATCCTGCAGCTTGATTCCAGAAAGAGAGAAAGAATTTTCAAAGTTCTTATTCCCCAAGCACCTCACTCTCATGCTTGGGATATTTGGGTTTCTACAACATGTATTCCTTGTCTCCAAGAGACACCGGCCACTGTATTTGGTTTTAAATGTTCTCAACAAACAACTCTACTCCAACCACACAGTTATGGGAGGGTCGGGATATAAGTAAAAGGCAAAGATGGGCTCCTTCAGAGAGCTAGCCAATAGTTTTAAACAGTCATAGTTCTAGGACAGGCCTGGTAGTGCACGCCTTTAGTCCCAACAATCAGGAGGCAGAGTTAGGTAGTAGATCTCTGTGAGTTGGAGGCCAGCCTGCAGGTCTACATAGTGAGTTTTAGGACAGCCAGAACTACATATTGGGACCCTGTTTCCAAAAAACAAACAAAACAAAACAAGTCATAGTTTTTTAACTATAGGTCCGTGTAGTACTAGGAACCCTCATTAGGAATGCAGGCTGTTTTCAAGGCTGCTGCTAAGCTCTAGGGAACTAGGATAAATTTAAAATGCCCTGAAACCTTAGGTATACAGTCATTGTTTTTCCTAGAGACGTATTTATTTTTATTGTGTGTGTATGTGTGTTTGTCTGCATGTGTGTATGTGTACCATGACTGTGCCTTGTTCATGCAGAGGCCAGAAAAAGATGTTGGATCTCCTGGAACTGGAGTTACAGATGGTTGTGAGCTGCTGTGTGGATGTTGAGAATCGAATCCGAGTCCTCTGCAGGAGCAAAGGGTCTTTACTGCCGAGCTGTCTATGCAGCCCTAGGAATTGTTCTTCTTGATTGACCATTTGCTGGCCATTATAAGCTTTTTCGTCTTTGAGTTTTTCTTTTTTGTTTGTTTTTTAAAATAGGGTCTTTCTATTTAGTTCTGGCCATTCCGTGTCATTGTTTTT